CTTTCCCTTGTTTAAAAAAAACAAGTTAGGATTTCTTAATTATGTCCCACTTACAAACAACAGCTTAAAAACAAACATCCAAAAGTCCTGAATATAAGCTAATTCATTTATAATAAATTCACGAAGTTATTAAAATCTAACTAAATATTTTCAATGGAATGGTAATCTGATTCAGCTGTTTAAAACTGTAATTCTATGGATACATTACAGCCTTCCAAGGATTAGAATGTAACAATTTACTGATTTCCTCACCAGTGGCCCCAAGCCTTCTTACATACATGCAACAGTACAGGCAGTCCCCGGGTTACGTACAAGATAGGGACTGTAGGTTTGTTCTTAAGTTGAATCTGTATGGAACTGGCGTCCAGATTCAGCCGCTGCTGAAACTGACCAGAGGCTGACTACAGGAAGCCAGAGGCAGAGTTGCTCTGCCCGGGCTTCCTGGAATCAGCCTCTGATCAGTTCCATACAGATTCAACTTAAGAACCCCAGGCATCCCCAAGACGCACCGCAGTCCCGCCACCCGGGTCCTCCGGAGACCAGCAGACCGGGGAGATGGGGAGCAAAGCCTCTGAGGATGCCGGCAGCGGGACAGCCGTGGCGCGTCTGGGCTGTCCGCTGTCTGCGTGCTCCCCGGCTTTGCCCCCCGTCTCCCTGGTCTGCTCGTCTCCAGCAGACCAGGGAGACGCGGAGCAAACCCCGTTCGTAACTGCGGATCCGACATAAGTCGGATCCGCGTAACTCGGGGACTGCCTGTAGTTCAAATGTAACAGTACATTTCTGAGTTGGATTGTGAGCTTTTCAAAGCAGGGACCTTGCTGCTTCATGCTTTTGGTAAAATACAATATATGCCACTCAGTCTAAAAGGCCCTCAATCCTGCAAACCAGCCTGGGCTTAACTTTAAGCCCAAATTGTCCCATGGATGTCAATGAATTTACTTACTTCTGTAAAATTAAATGCATGCAATATTAGCACGACTAATCCATATCTAATAATCTAAAATACAGTCGCCTGCTTTTCGGAAATGATGAGCACTCACAACTCGCACACAAGTCAATGGTGTAAACACTCAGTATCTTTGAAACATTAGACAATTTTATTTTAGACCACTAGATATTGATTTAGGTAATCCTGGATGACAACTAATTGTGTTTTTAAAAAGTGTACTTTTTATAAACTATAATCAGAGAAAAGAATAATGTGAATTATAAGTTATGGGGAGACCTTAGGAATTAAATATATTTCAAAGACTTGTTTCATTCAATTTAAAGAGTGAACAATTTTAGAATAAATTACACTTACAGAATCTTTGTTACTACAGTGCTTTATGGAAATAAGAATTGTAATCAATGCTAACAAAACTTGATCTGAAATGCCAGACAAATCAATGACTAAGTTTTGAAATTCTAGTTAAATATATTTGATTTGTTTCTCAATAGAGTGAAGAAACTTCACTGATCTTCTTTTGGCATGATCCTGCACTCATGTAGGTCAATGCCAAAAGTTCCCATTAGCATACTGAAGTTTCAGAACTCTAGTGAAAATGCAATGTTATGGTTGAGCTAAAGTTCTACGAGTTAGTTAAATCACCAGCTTTACATTATTTCATTCCTTTTATAAACTATTATAGGTAATAGCAATTTTAACATTTGTTCTAATACTCCAGTCATGTCAAAGACTAAACAACTAACACAATCTGGCTCTAGACACAAAGTACTATGAAATACAGCACCAATAAAAATTTCAATTGTACATTTTTCTGAAATAACTTCTCTGAAAAAAACAAAAACAACAGAGGAATAAACGAAATAAAACATGTTTGGCATGTTATACAAAACTTAGTTATTTCACTACACAGTAGTAACAAGTCATTTCAAATGCAGGTTGATGAAACTTTATACCACCAAACAAAATATTTACTTCAGCCTTAGGGTTCTTTTATACAGAATAAAAAAGGTATGCATCCCAGTGTGGGGTCTTATCATTATGTTAGATTTTATGTAAATACAAAACAAATTTGGGAAACAAGTAATTTATGGAAGAAACTCAAAATTCCTTCAAAAATTCCTTACCCAGATCTTCATTCTGCCTTTCATAACCATAAAAACATGAACTGCTGTACTTACCATCTGGTGGAAGCTGACTAGCAAATTCAGCTGGTAAAGTCAGAAGAGCATAGTCTTTCAATGCAGCTAGCCAAAGGCGACTAAGAATAGGCAGCTCAGGTTGTACGAGTGTTATCAAACTGTCTGGAGGTAGCTCATCTGCAGTACCAAAATCATCATCATCATCATCTGTACTCTTTATTGCTCGCTTTGGTTTGGTTTCTGCTTCCTTTTTAATTTTCATAGCAACAACATACACCTATAAAACAGATACAATATTTTTGCTTTAAAATGCAAACAAGAAAAAAAAAATCTTTCAATCAAATGACAAATTGTACCAGTAAATTATCTTTATGTTATCTTCTATAGAATATCATGAACAGTTTTACATTTTTGTGATGATCTGAGACTACTTTAAAAATTACCCTAAAATATCATACTGGAAAATTATCAGCTACATAACCGATGGAAATAAAGGTAGGATAAATGGAAAAGCTATTAGGTTTTATCAATCTATATTTCCAAGCTAAATCTGAATTTGCTGACAACAATTAGAGAAGAATTCAAAGCCAATATGGCTACTCAAAACTTTTAGCCTGAAGAGTGTCAATGAGGGCTCTTCACACAGAAAATGCTCTAATTTAACTAAATTAAATCCATGTGGGAATCACTTTAGTTACATGAGGCAACACACTTGTAGGTTTACTCTTAAATCAGTTTAGTAAAGAAAATAATCAATTTAGTTTCATTCAGGGAATCAGGTCACTTTCTGTGTAGCTCAGACTTTGTGAATGAGAATTTCTTCTTTATTTTTGACTGTGTACTATTCTTTAGAGGGTCTAAAAATTGGTATCTATGGGACCCAAATTGATGGACTGAAGGAACATTTTAGAGACATACACAAGGATACATTATGCAAACAAGCAGAAAGGCTGGGGGAAAAGATCTGCAATAGAACAAAAAAGCAGTGTTTTTAGAAAAGAAATATAGCCGACATAAATGTCCCCACACAACAGATGCTTTGCTTCAGATCAATGCTGAAAATAGCTCAACACTACAGGGCTGAGGTGCTAATACTTTCCTTATTTTCTCAAAGTAACTTCCAAGGAAATTAATTGCAAGAAAATCTACAGTATGTTAATGCAATAGAGAAAACAAAGGCATGCTTGTGCTCAGCTTCCTCAAAACACTTGTAGTCCTTTAGTCATTAGAAATAACACTTCAGAAAACAAAGTACAATGGCTTATATATAGCTAAGTTCAAACAAAGCACATTCTTTAATCATTATTTTTATCCTTGCATTATAAAAGTTATAATGCAAATAGTTTCAGAAAACCTTTAGTCAGACTTCCACCTATAGGGGTTCCATTTGGTATACTATATTCAGGGTCTTCTGTAATAGCTTTCATGTCACTTGGGGTCATTAAATATACCCATATGTAAAAGGTAATTCACAATACAGTAGTTTCAGCCAACAAAAAGAGCATCACAGCCACTAAAAATACAGATTAAAATGTTAACTTAAACCTGAACATTTTCACAGCAATTTAGAGATCAGGTTAATCATTCAGACAAGTGATGGGCAATCTAGGCTAGTGGCCTCAGTAGGCCACAAGACAGTCGTAAACGAGACAGTTTTCCTGGGTTTGGGTACTTTTGGTAACTGCACTGGAGTACCTAGAATTTGTGTGTTGACTGAACCATAGCAACACTTTGATTGGATGCACGAACTCTCAAAGCCAATGTTGGGTTCAATCAGCATGCACTTCACTTCACTTCACTTCACTTCACTTCACTTCACTTCACTTCACGTGCTCTTGCTTCATGTGTGGGTCACTTTAGTAATATTGGTAGGAAAAAAACTATATGGATGGAAACCAACAGAACCTGACAACTCTGCATGTGGGCAATGGGAAACAAAACATCTTGTGGGCCCACACATACAACCCTGATAGGCCACATGCAGCCCACCACTAATTTAGACTCTCTTGGAGCACATTATTTAAATTTTAAAAAATTCTGTCCAATAATTTCTTAAGCTATCTCATCTGACTCCTATGTTAACTTTTGGTCTGATTTTCAGAGGTACTAGACTCCCACTGCTCCCAACAACTTCAGTGATAATGGTGGGAGTTCAGCCCATCTGAAGATAAGGCCATTATTCTAGAACCTCATCAGACTATCACACTGTGAGAACGACAGTTCGTAATGCTCAGACAAACATTCAGATAGTTTCTCTTTAAAATCCATTTTAATTTAACCACTAGAATTTCCAGACTTTTAAAATACAGATTAAAATGTTAAATTAAACCTGAACATCTTTATAGCAATTTAGAGATCAATTCCATTATTTAGACTGCCTTGCAGCCTGTATTGCTATTTGTGAAATCCATCATTTTTAGATACTTGAACCTTCTTTGGTCCCCCACATTCCCAAACAATGACTTCAGCAGCCCTGTTGTTTACTATTTCCTTTTTGGGGAAATTCCTGGCTATGCTTTGATTTGACAGCTCATCTTTGAATTTTGTTTTTAAATTAACAGGTAGGGGCATTGGACGGAAACTGACATCTGACAAAGTCTGAAAATTCTGTGAGGGCCTGGATGTGCACAATGGATGGGATAGAGGAAATGGGGAGTCATGGGGAGAAGAGTGAATAGAAGCAACATGTCAATTGTGGACAAGTTGGCTAGAAAGAAGATGAAGCATTGCAGTGATAGGTATGGAGAAACAAAAGCTGGAGAGAGTGAGAGGAAGTCAGAAAAGCTGGAAAAGACAGAAGTCTTGGGGCTGGCTGGATAGATGCCTAGAAGGATGAGAAGTTGCAGCTATGCTACAGTAACTAATCCAAGGTATAAGGTAAATATTTAACACCGAATGTTTACCTCGGCCCAAGCTTTCAAAACTGCCAGTTTTTCCATAGTCGTGGCACTCTCTCGATAAGGCTGACTGGAAGACCCCTTTCCTGCTTGCACTTTGTCCAGGGAGGAAACAAGGAGATTGTGAACTCGGCGAAGATCATTCAGGTCACTTACAACCCCACTTCCTATCCATGTGCTGCACACCTACGCAAGAAAATTTTAAATCATTCTCCAAGATACCTGCTTGAACAAGCACAGATTTTATGCAAAGATAAAATAGTTCTGTAATATGTTCTAACAGTGAATCATCCTTTTAAGTACACATGCTTGATGCTGTAACACCACATAATGGAACCAATTTAGAGGAATTCAGTAAACCCTCAAAATGTAAAGATTTCCAGTGCGGATAAGGTCTGTGACAAGTCTTGTGACATTTTACTAGCTCTGCCTGCAATGAGCTGAATAATGCACCTTCCCTCCAACTCCTTTCTGAAGAGACAAAAGCTGTGAACTGGAGGTATTTTCTAGTATTCCTGCAAACTGAAAATATGACCATGGGAGATGGATTCTCTTGCTTGACGACACCCAATGCCACCTAGAAGGTGGGAAAGCAGTATTCCCTCATCACCTTTGTGAGGGACCTAAGTTCCTCCTCTATCCAACATCATCTTCACCACAACAGGTTCCCCAATCAAGTTGAAGGGAACAAATGTTGTTATGCCTCTTCCATAGTAATAGGACCTTCCACTCCTCTGCAAAGCCATGTTACAATGTAATTTTATACCTCTGTCAACTAGAGGAGGTGATAGCAGAATATTCAAGCACATATGAACAGGAGAGTTAGGCAAAGTAGAATCTTAATCCACTTCACTGTAAACAGTATCAGCAGACTCCCCCATACATGGACGGAAGATAGTGGAAGAATTTTGTGTATCTCCTTCCCTGCAACAAGGGCAAGTGAAACCATTTTCCCTGGACAGTGGGGGAGAAAAGAGGCAGATTCATGGAACTCAAATTTCTTTAAAAATGTATCACTCTTAGCTTTCTAGTGCAGCTGGACAAAAAAAGAAAACATTCTCCACAAAAAAAAAAATCCTGTCAATTTCTTTTCTGTTTCTTTTAAGTTTTCCAGACCAGCTATTTTTGCTGGTTAAATTCTCGGGGAGCCAATGGAGTTCACTCTCCCAAAAGAAGCTCCCTGCTCTTTCTAGGTCCATGGAAGCCCTAACTTAATGGACAAGGGGAGAATGCAAACATTCTTGCAGGCCACAGGCTCTCAGCCCTGGAGCAGTGAGCCCTTCAAAGTATATACCATACCTCTCTTGGACAGGCATAGGAAAGACTTCTATAAAACCTTGTTAAAACAAATTCACAAGCCCTTAGAGGGAGCTGTAACACAAATGCCAAACAAAGCCATCCTCCTCCCCCCTGGCAAACAGCAGCCCCATTCATTGTAGCATTATCACAAAAGAGAAAACAACACAGTTCAGTATCACTCATATAGGCTCATGTCCTTTCCAAACATAGAATATAAACTTCTCACAAAGTTAATGCCCAATCATTTAACCCCACTAATGAGCTAGCACTCAAACATCAAATGGGTGTCAAATGAGGAAGATGAGGTTTGGAAGATGTTAAAAGAGATTTAAATGTTTTCATACAAACTCTGTAAATTATTTCCTCATCCTAGCATTGAATGCAGAAGAAACTTTAAATAGGGTGAAATGGACAGTTACGCATGGTATCAGTCAGAATCAAAGAAAGACTCACAACCTGAGTTAAAACCGTATACTCAATGGTAAATCACCATTACCTCAAATTATTTGATTGGATTAAAGGTACCTATTTCTCAACAGTTCTATTAGCCACACAACAATCAAAACAAACACCATTGTATGCAAGTCCCTTGTTCAGTTATGATTAGTGGCAGAATATTATTGAAGTTCTTAATAACCCTACTAATGGACCAGAACCCTTCATTTAAATTCAGACATCAATAAAGCTATTAACCAGTATTTACATGTGGCTGTTTCCTACTAGTTGCAGAATAAATAAGAAAATAAAAAGTTTTCTTAATAAAATGTCCGAAGGATTTCCACAATACTGAATAACCAAATATATTACCTGGAGCCTCTTATAATACTCTTAATTTATAGAGTTACATCATAAGTTTCCAAATTTTCCAGTAGTAGGGGTATTTCCTACAATGTTTCTTTTCTCACTTTTTTCCTAAGGGAAAAAAATTGCACTCTCTCTCTCTCTTACTCTAAAAGCATGAAATATGTCAAGTTTTTAATACATAGTCTTTATATTTTTCTCTGTACCTGGCAGGCTTTTGCTGTTATGTCAGAAGGAGTATCTTGGGAAAAAGCTGGTCTTAGAGCAGCTCCAACCTACGTAAAAAGAAAAACAAACTGATAATACTTTTTGTGTATGTAATGAAGTCAGTGTTCCAAAAGAAGGAATCTCTTGCCTGGGCAAGTTTGATATTACATTTGTGTATAGAGTAGGTATGTTAAAACGTGAGTTTTCTGGTAAACATGTAACTGCTGAAATTTTCAGTGGGTACACATTTACACGAGGGGAAGTAGCTCCGTGGGAGCTGGTGCATGCAGGGAGTCAGCTTAAAAGCCAGCTCCCCATGAGCACCAGCTCCCACCTGCCCTTTGAGCTGCTGCCTCTGTATTAAAGGCAGCAGTGGTGGGAATGGGGGTGGTGGTGGTTGTGGGGGGGGGAGCCAGTACACATGGAAAGCCAGCTTTTAAGCCGATTCCCAGAGCCTCCTGCCCCCTCCCTGCGCTGCCAAACTCCATGAGCACCAGCTCCTGCCTCCCCTCTCCCCACAGCTGCAGCTTATAACAATAAGTCAGTGGTACTCTGGAATAATAAACAGGGATGTAAAGGGGAGAGGGGGAGAGCGAGAGCCAGTCCTAGGGGAAGCCGGCTTAAAAGCCAGTTCCCCCCAGCACCATCTCAGTGGTGCAGGGGAAGGGAATAAGGGTATGTCTACACTATCCTCCTAGTTCGAACTAGGAGGATAATGTAGGCATACCGCACTTGCAAATGAAGCCTCATTTCACGAGGAGTAACGGTAGTTCGGACTAGGAAGCCTAGTCCGAACTACCTAGTCCGTGCCGCGTGTAGCCGCGCGACACGGGGTTCGAACGAGCCGGGATTTAAAAATGGCGGCACCCGGCTTATGCAAATGAAGCCCAGGAAATTCAAATCCCGGGCTTCATTTGCAAGTGCGGTATGCCTACATTACCCCGCTAGTTCGAACTAGGAGGGTAGTGTAGACATACCCTAAGGGAGGCAGGACCACAGCGGTCCCGGAGCCAGCGCAAGCTGGGACTGCTTAGTCCCTGCTCGCTCCAGCCCCAGGAGCTAACCCTGCTGTGGCTCTGCAGTTTAAATGTAGTAGGAACAGGGCTGCCTGCTGGATTCCATCGACTACTCGATTAGCCAATAAATCGCAACGTAACATTCCTAATAATAAACTCAGATCTCCTAACTTCCATTCCCATATGTTCACATATTTCTTGCCCAATTTACAGAACAGGGACATAAAATATAAATGTACACCCTACTATTTGGATTTCAAGGATCAGTGGTTATTGATTTTTTGGAACTTTTGCCAGTAACTAAATTATAATAAATAGATGGAAGAGATACAGAAATAATTTTGAAGGAGTAAATAAAATGTCTGCAGTACATTTTTCCACACACAGTCAAGATAAACTGGCATACTGAGAGAAATATACAATTTCCTAAACATATAAAGAAGGTCTCACATTAGCTTGATACTGCTCCAGTATCACATGACCTGGAAACTCTGGCTCAGGAACTGATGCAAATTTCTTGATAATGTCTTCAAGTGCCTGGAGACCAGCCATCCGCAACTGGTTGCTGTGATCAGTTGCAGCCATGAATGCCATACGGATGAGGTCAGAGAGATGGAGCACTAAAAGATCATCTAAAAATAAAAATAATAAAGCCATTAACTAAGTTAGAGATATCCAACTGATGTCCACTTACAGACACTTGTAACTTTACACAAGTTTCTAACAGGGAGACTATGTTGTTATGTGTAAATTTCACACATATCTGAAAAAAAAAATCATATTTTGAAAAAAACAATAATATACTTTCTTTTCATTGTTAATATAATTTACCACTTCAGATTTCTGAAATGTCTGTTGTGAAAAACTGAAGAAAAATAAAAGAAAAGGTCATGAGAAAAAATTGCTCTGAATGTTAAACTCCTTCATGGCTGTTTTCAGAACATTTTGCAAAAACAGCTTTAATGACTTGTTCCTCATGTCCACAGAAAACCCTGAATGCAATTGCTGTTACAATCTTATGCCTATAGTGACCCCTGCTGATAAAGGAATATCTGATCAATTCTAAAACTCTGGTATGTTAGCCAACCACTAGGTATTGCAGGTAGTAATAAATATTTATTTGGGTGAAAATGAGGTAATTCCTTCACATCTTGGGGAGAAATAGCTGGAGTCTGTTACTGGGGGTAACAGAAAAATGTGTGAAGACTGCAAGGGGTAGAAGAAAATAATTCAGAAATCAGCAACATTTTTGTAAGGACTTTTCTTCATGTGTTTTTCTTTACTCCTTAGCTTTTAATACCAAATACTGTAAGTAATTACTTTAAAAAAATAATTTCCTTATATTATAATATGATACCAAAATAATCATAGTTTGTAACTGGTTACGTGGGAAGATTTGTGTAAAATTTAATGTGAGGAAACATTGGGAATACTTAGGGTTTACAGATTGACAAAATGCAACACAGCTTTTGAAGTTAATCTAAAATGTGGAAGGGGTAATTTACCAATGCTGAAAGTGAAAAGTACATTAGGATGCTATAGTTTTTAAAAAAACATCAATTGCAATATTCACACACATAAACAAACCCTTCACCTATCCCTCTCCATTAGGAATGTCAATGGTTACTTCATTAAGGGTGAGGCTTACTCGTTCTTATAGTTTCTGGGGCTATAGTAGCTCCACATCCGCTGCATGCAAGGGCACTCCAGCCAGCCAAAGCAGCCTTGTCCGTGGAGATCCCAGCTCAACCCAGGCATGCTGCAAGCAGGGGCATTCCAGCCGGCCTAAGTAGCCCCTATCTGTAGTGGAGGAGCCACTTCAGCCTCGCCATGGTGGATGTGGGATCCACGCCAGCCCATATGGGAAGGAGCAGCCTCTCTGTCTGCCCCCTCTTTTAATCGGTCAACAATTAAACATTATGTTTAACTGGTTAACCAATTAAATAGGATTTTACATCCCTATTCTCCATTGGAGCCATTAACTCCAATTTCCCGAAAACAAATTTCAGGCTCTTCTGTTTAAAAGTAACAAATTCCATTTAAAATTACAATGTGAAAATGAAGTGACCATTTTTCAGCAGGGTCAATTTACTACTTTCCCATGGGAAAAGAACACATCATACAATTCAGCAGTGTGTCATACCTAAGAGATATATATTGCTAATTATGCTGAACTTGAGTTATGGATTTCATTACAATTCAAGGGGGTACAATGTGGTGTTTTGCATTTTCATGTTAGAGCTATGGTTCTCAACCTTTCCAGGCTACTGTACGCCTTTTCAAGAATCAGATTTCTTTTGTGTATCTCAAATTTAATCTCATCTAAAAACTACTTGCTTACAAAATCAGATATAAAAATAGTCTCTCATTTTGTCAGTCTGAAATTTTAGTTTGTACTAGCTTTGCTAATGTTTTTTATTTTTCCTGTTGTAAGTCAAGGCAATATCTAAATGAGTTGATATACCCCGTGGAAGACCTCTGTCTACCCCCAGGGACACATGTACCCCTAGCTGGAAACCAGTCTGCTTACAGTATAAGGAGACGTACTTATTGAGTGTTGGTTCTGTCAGGGAAAATGGTCAATGATAAAGGAGAATACCTTAACTGGGCATGTCTAGCTTTTACTAGTTTGTATGGATAGCTTATTCAAGTTTAACTATTACCTAACAAAGTTTTCTCTTTGTTGGTATCTAATATCCTTAACTGATCTCTTAAAGTTTATAGAAAACAAAAACACATGCAAAAGCTTTAATTACTTTTAGGGTTCCTGAGTTTGGCTGAACGGGCCAGGGCTAGATCAAAGTGAGCCTTGTTCGCATTCTCACACAGCATGATAATTCGACACAAGCAATCAGCAGCAAATACACGAGTGGCCCAGCGAGGAGCCACAGAAGGTTTTGATTTATCCTCTTCACCCAGAGTGGTAAACATTGTGTCATCATCCATCTCATCTTTCTTCTCCAATTCTTCATCCTTTCCTCCTCCCAAAGGAGCTGCAGTGCTCATATCTACAAGAGGAGACACACAAAGTCATAAAAGTTAGCAATTCCACTGTCAGCTGTAAACTATTTCTTAAAATTACTATGTGAAGTTGTCAACTCTTACAATCCATTCAAAATGAAAATGGAGAGTAAAAGAAATAATAATAGATTTAATAGAAATCATGGCATTTCAAAATGAAGAAGGGCACTGTAAAGAAATATTAATAAGGAAAGATTTTTTTCCCCATCAGCATACTATTACCTAGAAATTAATATGTAAAACCTCAGGCTATGTCTACACTGGCGTGATCTTGTGCCAGAGATATGCAAATGAGGCTAAGCGTGGAATATTGCCGAGCCTCATTTGCATATCTAATGAGCTGCCACCTCAGGAGGTCATCGAGTCCAGATCCCTGCCGAAAGCAGGACCAACCCCAACTAACTTAGGCTATGTCTACACTCGCAGCTTCTTGCACAAGTAATATGCAAATGAGGCTAAGTGTAGAATATCGCCGAGCCTCATTTGCATACCTAATGAGCCTCCTTTTTTTCAGAAGAGGCGCTTGCGCAAAAAGGAGCATCTACATTGCCCCTTCTTGCGCAAGAAAAACCCTCTTGTGCAATGCCGTTACACCTATTACTTTTCAGGAAGAATGGCATTGTGCAAGAGGGTTTTTCTTGCGCAAGAAAGGGCAGTGTGGACTCTCCTTGTGCAAGATCCTCTTCTGAAAAAAATGGAAGCTCATTAGGTATGCAAATGAGGCTCGGCAATATTCCATCCTTAGCCTCATTTGCATATCTCTGGCGCAAGATTGCGCCAGCGTAGACATAGCCTCAGTGTTTAGTTGTCAGAGCATCAGAATGATAAGGGATTACACCAAAACAGACAGAGCAACAAAAATAAACTTATCAGAGAGATAAATTAGTCACCCTATTCCTAAAAAATAATGCACACAGGCTGCAGAAAAGTTGGGACATTTCAGGGTGAGAAAGGTTATGCAATATGACAGACCAAGCCCGAATTCATGAGATTCTTTGCAAAAGCATGCCAGAAATTATATGTGGCTGCCTTAAAAATTTGCTTTGCATATGCCAATATGTCTTAGCCTATAAATTTGAAGTTACGAGCTTACTGAAGTGCAGCACTTAGAAATGCATTTAAATATAGTTATGTTGGAGACTATTTGGCCTACTGTACAAGAGTCAATTAAGAGAAAAAGACGAATGCATATTTTACAGATTTTATTTTACAGAATCTATGAAAGAAGATCTTTTAACATCAAGCTCATTAAATAAAGTATGCATCTGGGTATGGGAAAAATGTTAGAATGATAACTAAAATGTAAGTAGAAATCTGGTAACACCTTAAAAGGGCTCTCATTTGAATCCATAGTCCACATTATACTTATATAAAATAGTGAACAGGAGAGAAATAATGAGAGATCTATCCACACCTGCTCTGGAAGCTGAAGTGAGGCATAAAATCTTCCAAGAAGGATTCTGAGTGAACGAGTAGCTCAAAATGAGGTTTAATCATTATTGTAAACAGCACATTAATAACTCATAACACCTTATAACTGGAGTTTTACATACAAGTAACACTCTTCCTTCTGCATACCTAATGGATAATGGCTGACCAGAAACTTGTGTACATTCAGCATGTTAGTGGAAAGTTAAAAAAGCAGTCATATGGGCTTTTTCGAATAAAGATGATCACTCACACTGAGAGCATTTCTACACTAGAAACATAAGATGACCTATGTATATTACTGTGGTGATTCATGTCCACACTACCCTCCTGTCAGTGGTGCAAGTCCTCACAAGGAATGCCTCCCTGGCACAGCATAGGCAGGGTCACTCCAGCCCAGCCAGAGCAGCCCCCGCCCTCCCTCATTTAACTTCTTAACTACTTAAACAGGATTTTACATCCCTAGTATAGGACTGAGAGAATGAGGTC